TAAGATTTTTTCAGAGACCTCCCGGCTTTATATAAAATATGAAAATTTTAAGAATATTTTTTCGGACTTCCTAGACAAAAATCGTGGGTTTTGAAGAAAATTGTATCGAATTTTGCCTTTTACTAAAATTCTTATTTTTTTAGAAAAATTGTTAAAAAGTTTGAATTTCTTAGAAAACTGGGTTAAAATCGGGGATTTTTTTCAGAAAATTTTTGGAAGAGACTTCCTATATATATATAATCTTGTGTTTTACTGAGAATATTTATTTAAGAACCTCCTGACTGAAAATCCGGAATTTTTGAGAATATTTTATAAGGATCATCTAAAATAACACCAGATTTTTTAGAATAAATTGTTGAAGAACATTTATTCAGGGATTCAGGGAAACATTTTCAGGACCTCATGACTGATGGATCGTTGATTTCTTTTTTATTATTTACATGGTGTTCTTGGGCAAAAATCGGTGGGTGAAATAGCCACAACATTTGTGTTAAATAAAAGTAAAATTTTCCATTAAAGAATGGCTGCTCCGATTTTGACAAATTTTGTCAATTTAGAATGTCCTTTTGGCATAAAAGTAAAAAATCTAAACAAAATCGCATAAAAATATGCCAATAGTGATGTTAATATAGATTTTACAGTATTTTGTGACATATTTTTATTTTTTCATATTTTTTATCACATGAGATTTTTTCAATTTGACTTATAATATTATAATACGGAGTACGGAGTGTCCCTAGTCAAAATCATAATTTGAAAAGCGAAATCTTCCAATATGGGTTTGGACATAAGGGGGCTTTTAACATATTGTAGTGTTGTAGGGTATCACATGGTTGGTCCCGCACGACTTTAGCCTTTGCTTACTTGTTTTTTTCTAGTTTTTCGTTTGGCTCGAGGTCAGAATTTAAAAAAACAGACGAATTTGTTTTTTTTTTATATATTAATTTATTTGTCCGATATTTCGACTATCTTCGATAGTCATCATCAGGGATTTGAATTGGATTTTAACTCTTCTGTTTTTAAGTTCTCTGATGCAGCTTTTCCATCCTTTCCTTTTTACTCGATTTTTTTTCATAAAAACATAAGTTTCTCATTGGAGAAAACAAATTCTTTTATTATTTTTACATTAAGGCAACATTCTGTTATTTTTAAATATTTGGTAATGAAAGGTTTTTATGGGCAATAAGGCTAATGTAGCTCTTAAATGTTTGCTCGGATTGAATAATGTTCAAACCGATATTGGCTACACCACACCATTATGAAAGGTCATGATTATGACCTACATAGTACGTTTATACCCTACACACAAGGTGGTCAGGGTATTATGTCAGTGTGCATTTGTTTGTAACAGGCAAAAGGAAACGAGATAGACCCATAGTTTCTTTCGATGATCTGCATAGAATCACATTCTGAGTCGATTTATGCATGTCCGACCGTCCGTTCGTCTGAGAGAAACATTTTTCAGTGTTTTTTGTTTTTTTTTTTTTGACATGAACATCTTGAATTTTTTAAGAACTTCCTAAATAAACATCCAAGATTTTGAAGAATATTTTTAAGGACCACCTGATTGTTAAGAATTTTTTTAATGATCCCCCGAATTTTTTAAAGAAAATTTGAGATCGTCTCCTTGACAAAAGCAAATAAAAAGTGTGATTTTTGAAAAAGTCGTTGAAGAACCTCATCACGGCAAATCTTGCATTTTTAAAAATATTTTCATAAGGAATTTAATTTAAAGCAAAAAAAATTTTAAGGACCTCCCGACAAAAAGTCTTTTAAAAGCATTTTTCAAGTTCCTCTTGATTGAAATTTTTGGATGTTTCAAGAACATTTTTGACAAGGTCTTTCTGGTATTGAAAGTAGTAGATTTTGTAAAATATTTTTGAAGATCTCCTCATTAAAAACGTGATTCTTTTTATGGATATTGTTGAAAATGTCTGAATGTCCCTCAATATTCCATTCGGCATATCGCAATATTGAAAAATGAGCTCGGGGTGAAGCCATTGAAATTCCAAAAAGTTCAAGAACTTTCACCGAACAGCAGGAACGAAAATAGTCTCAAAAGAGTTAAGGAGTTGATTCGCTTGGCCGAAAGTGGTGAACTGCCGAATTTGGTTTTCTTCGTGTCCGATTAGAAAACATTTGTTGTCCAGCAGTTTGTGAACAAACAAAATTATCGTGTTTACTTGCCAAAGAGGTCAGCTGAAAATGTGCACCTTCGGTTGGCCACCAGAACTAAAGCGCCGGCCATGGTGATAGTGTGGGCCGCCATAACAGCCTATTATCGCTCTCCGCTCGTATTAATCGATCGTGGCATCAGAATAAATGCCGAATATTATCTCGAAAATATTCTAGAGGGTATATTAAAGTCATGGGAACGCAAACATTTTGGCCTCAGACCTTGGACATTCCAACAGGACTCAGCATCTTCCCAAGAATGGTTACAAAATGAGGTTTCTCGCTTCATTTCCTGCGCACAATGGCCACCAAAATCCCCGGATACCAATCCGCTGGACTATTTTGTCTGGAGTATTTTGGAAGCAAGGTTGACACGTACCGACCAATACCAAAGTGTCGATCACCTCAAGCAAGCGTTTCGTCGGGAATGGGCCAAAATACCGCAGAGCAATATTTGGGCAGCGTGTGACGGTTTCATTGGCCATAATTCGTGCCAAAGGTGACCAATTCGAACAAATCTAAACTTATTCAAAAATTTGATGCTATTTTCGACATTTTTTGTTGTCATTCAATAAAATGTAGAAAAAAAATTAATTAAAAATGATGGCGTTTGACTCTGTTGCAGTTTTTTATATATTACCCTGTATATTATTGATCAGCATGTGAAAATCACTCTAGCTTCTGAAAGAATTGAAGTAGGTTGATAAAATTTTAGTAAAATATGGGTTTGGTCTGCAGACTTTTTGGCATTGAAAATGGGCTATATAGGTCCACGTTTAGGTATATCCCCCATATAACTGAACCTCCTTATATAATTTATTTTGATGATTTTAGCGACATTGTTCATCGGAATTGTTTCGTAATAAATTTCGTAATAAGAGTTCGTAATGCTACTACAGCCTATCTATGAAGGCCCAGGACTTCATATAGCCCCATATATCGGTACCTCCCAATATTCGATATTTTGATGATTTTAGCTATATTATTCACCGGAATGGTTTCATATATCGTATTTAGTTTTTTAAAAGGGACTACAGCCTGTGACCATTAATTGCCTATGCAGCCAGATCTTCGTATGGCACCTATATATGTAGTGGTAACTCCCTTTATTCGGTATTTTGATAATTTTACCTACATGTTACACCAGGATTGTTTCAAAGTTCTTTTATGAAGTTCCTAATGTGTACCACAGTCTATGACATAAAATTGTCCATGCAGATTCAGGTCTTCGTATAACTTCCATATAACAGTATTTTGACCATTTTAGAGACATCACCGGAATTGTTGCAAATTTCGTATTTCCACTTCTTAATGGGTACTACATCCTGTGACAGAAAATTGGCTAGGACAGGTCTACGTCTTTGTATAGCTCCCATATGTTTTGATGTTTTTGTGACATAATTCATCGGAATTGTTTCGAGTTTCATATTTGGTCTATGACAAAAATTGCCTATGCACATTCATGTTTTCGTATGGATCCCAATATAACGTTATCCTCCTATATTCTGTATTTTTAAAATTTAAACTGCATTTTTGATGTTTTTTTTTTTTTTTTTTTTTTGTAAATTTCCAAATTCATCCCAAATGGTAGAGGGTACTCAAAATTCGCCCTGGTCGAACTTAATGATTTTTATCTAAAATTCTGCAAATTGTTAGAATTTTTTGGAAATTCTGGATTACATTAACTGGTAAGAGCTTCAGCTTTGAAATTTTGGATGTGGCTCACCCACTATGAGCGGGGTTGATATATGGAGAGATTTTTGAAAAAAAAAATATATAATAAATTATAAAATAACGAAAAATTTAAATGTCGATTTAAGCATGCATTGAGCAAATAATTACAAAATTATTAACAAAGTTAATTTTTTTATCCAAACTTGCTTGGAATCACAGAACAATATTTACAATTTTCGAATAGAAAATAAAATTAATTTTGAATACATAAAAAATCTTAAAATTCAATACGATTACAGTGAGAACAAGTAGAGAAGTAGGTAAGAAGAAAAAAGGTGAAGAAACATACCTAAAATGTACTACGTTGTATGTAGATGGATTTTTTATTTTTGAATTTTTGAATATTTGTTTTTCAAATTTTTTCTAGCTAGGATTTTTTTTTCAAATGCCAAAATATGTAGCTTTTTTTTGTTGTAGTTGGTGGATGGTAGTTGTTGTTGGTAGTAAATAACAAGGTGAGGATTATGGAAAATACTTTCAAAATCTTTTCAAACTATATATTTATATGTAAATAGGCGCTTTGGTTTTTTTGGTATTGGTTACGTTTTTTTTCTAATATATGTATATATAAGTGTGTGTGTGTGAGGATATACAACTTGGTAGGCATGTACATGTGTTGGTAAGTAACTTGAACAGTAACGCAATTCTAAGGTTGTGTAAAGTAGGAATAACTTGTTGTTGGAATCAAACTACTTTTCTTTGTTTTTGTTGTTGTTGTATATATAAATAGGTAAGTGTTTTTGTTGTTTTTAACTTCTTCTTTACTTTACTCAATGCAAATAACATGGGTGTGTGAATTATTTTATTTGGAAAAGAAAATATATTCAACAATGGTTTGTTCTTTTTCTAGTTTATGCCATATGCGTTTGGTGATCTCTGGTTTTTTTTAGGGGGTTAGTGTATGAGGAGGTTGGTGGTGGTGGTGGCACTAGCGTGTTATGTTTGTTTGTTCGATGTAGAGGGGGGTTTTGGTTGTCTAATTAATTTTTTTTTTCGTTTTTTTTCTTTGTTTATTAAAACTTTAAATTAAGTGATTCAAGCGATGCTAGTGATGAGCGCCTAGATAAACCTGTATTGGCAGGACAACTGACCAGTGAGGTGGTGCCGAATAGTTTGTACCAGCCAATCACAATGCCATTGGAGAGATCGATATGATCGAGCATTATTTGGGCCACGCCCATAAAGACTTTCTTTTCGATGCGGCCATAGTCGCCCCAAACGGTAACCTGAAAGAGAAAAATAAAGGAGAAGAAGTTAGAAGGTGGAGGATCAAGGGGGGTAAGAAAGAGGTTTTCCATGGAGAGAAGAAATGTCTTCTATAGAGAGGAGACCTGTTGAAGGTTTTCTACAGAGAGAAAATCTTATGAAAACGTTCTGCAGGTCTTCTATCGGCAGAAGACCTCCAGAAGGTCTTCTATGGACATAAGACGTTCTGCAGGTCTTCTATAGACAGAATACGTTCTGCAGGTCTTCTATAGGCAGAAGACGTCCTGAAGGTCTTCTATAGACAGAAGACCTGCTGTAGGTCTTCTATAGACAGAAGACCTGCTGTAGGTCTTCTATAGACAGAAGACCTGCTGTAGGTCTTCTATAGACAGAAGACCTGCTTTAGGTCTTCTATAGACAGAAGACCTGCTGCAGGTCTTCTATAGACAGAAGACCTGCTGCAGGTCTTCTATAGACAGAACACCTGCTGCAGGTCTTCTATAAACAGAAGACCTGCTGCAGGTCTTCTATGGACAGAAGACCTCCTGCAGGTCTTCTATAGACAGAAGACCTCCTGCAGGTCTTCTATAGACAGAAGACCTCCTGCAGGTCTTCTATAGACAGAAGATCTCCTGCAGGTCTTCTATAGACTGAAGACCTCCTGCAGGTCTTCTATAGACTGAAGACCTCCTGCAAGTCTTCTATAGACTGAAGACCTCCTGCATGTATTCTATAGACAGAAGACCTCCTGCAGGTCTTCTATAGACAGAAGACCTCCTGCAGGTCTGCTATAGACAGAAGACCTCCTGCAGGTCTTCTATAGACAGAAGACCTCCTGCAGATCTTCTATAGACAGAAGACCTCCTGCAGGTCTTCTATAGACAGAAGACCTCCTGCAGGTCTTCTATAACCAGAAGACCTTCTGAAGGTCTTCTATAGACAAAATGCCTCCTGAAGGTCATCAATAGACAGAAGATCGCGAGAGGGTCATCAATAGACAGAAGACCTCCTGAAGGTCTTCTATGGACAGAAGTCCTCCTGCAGGTCTTCTATAGACAGGAGACCCTCTGAAGGTCTTCTGTAGACAGAAGACCTCCTGAAGGTCTTCTATAGACAAAATGCCTTCTGAAGGTCTTCTATGGACAGAAGGCCTCCTGCAGGTCTTCTATAATCAGAAGACCTCCTGCAGGTCTTCTATAATCAGAAGACCTCCTGTAGGTCTTCTATAGACAGAAGACCTCCTGAAGGTCTACTATAGACAGAAGACTTCCTGCAGGTCTTCTCAAGACAGAAGACCTCCTGGAAGTCTTCTAAAGACAGAAGACCTCCTGACGGTCTTCTATAGACAGGAGATCTCTCAGGAGACCCCCTGCAGTCCTTCTATAGTCAAAATTTCTAGAAGTTTTTTTCTTCGATCTTTAAAGGTCTATCGGGATAGCTTACCTGTAATATACAGCCTTTGGTATTGCAATTCTGGAACACCAATTGCTGTTGATACAATGGCTCCAGCGTTCGGCGAGCCGTGGAAGTTTTCATTTTGTCCATGCATTTTTTACCCGAAACCAAGTACACTTTGACATAGGGGGCTGGTAGCATTTTCGAGGTGGGTTTTTGCTGAAATAAAAAGAGGTTCATATTTTAATTTCCGTAGGAAAATTTATCGCCCTGCCACTCACCTGTAAACCTCTTGCTCTAATGACCTCTACTTCTAGGCAATTTTTCTGATAGCATAGCGATAGTTGGATATCGCCCAGTGAGGGGGCACCCAGCACCTGGCGGCCAACCAATTGGCCCGGTCCAAGACCTTCGACAAATTGATTGATTTGTTCATCCGCTCTCATGGTGGGAGAGAATCTGTTTTCCAAAAAAGTTTTTGTTGTTTGTTAAAATAGAAAAATATATTAGTAATTATTCAAAATTAATGTTTGTTAAATAAAAAAAAATAATAATAATATTCTTGGAAAGTTAAGAGAAAGTAAAATTATATATCAACTGAAACTCATATATATATGAGAAAAATAACTTTGTATTATACACAGGGAGATATAGTAGGCAATTTCAAGTTAAGATTTTTTTTTGGATTTGAAAAAAATATTGTTTATATATCTTTTTTTGTTTTGACAATATTCCTTTTATGTTGTTGCATTAACGTGCATTATTTCTGTTGCATTGTGTAATATTTTTTGATTTTTTTTGCAATATTTTTTACAACATGCTTTGTAGTATTTACAACCAGGCCTTTACACCGAGAGAGTAAAAGAGAATGTTGTTTTCCATTGAAGGCTTAAGAGAAGCTCTCAACACACGCACATAGTTACACCCTAGAAGAAAAGTTCGTTCAAATGACAATAATTTGGAATGAGACATGAATGGGAAGCGATGTGAAAAAGAAAAATGATTTTAGAAATAAATAAACAAGTTGATAAAATTATTTGTTGAAAACAGCAGATGTCCTGGTAATA